TCCCCCCCTCACCTGTCCCCTCACCTGCCGCAGGCTGGGCGCTGGCCACGCCCCCCCAGGTGCGCCTGGCGGACGGGCCGGGTGCGTGCGCGGGCCGGGTGGAGGTGCTGCACCTGGGCAGGTGGGGCACGGTGTGCGACGACACCTGGGCGTTCCCCGCGGCCGCCGTGGTCTGCAGGTACCTGGGCTGCGGGCAGGTGATCGCGGCCCCGCCCCGCGCGCGCTTCGGGCCCGGCCGCGGCCAGGTGTGGCTGGACGGGCTCACCTGCACAGGTGAGGAGGCCGCGCCCTCCGAGTGCCGCCACAAAGGGTGGGGAGTGCACACCTGCGAGCACAGCGAGGACGCCAGCGTGGTGTGCGCAGGTGAGCGCAGGACAGGTGTGACAGGTGTGCACAGGTGTGCCAGGTGTGACAGGTGTGCGCAGGTGTGACAGGTGTGACAGGGGTGACAGGTGTGCACAGGTGTGACAGGTGTGCGCAGGGGAGCGACGGACAGGTGGGACCTCGCTCAACGGCGCCGACATCTACTCGGGCTGCGGCACCCTCAAGATCGAGTACGCCAAGGTGGGCACACCTGGGACACACCTGGGGGCACCTGGGAGACACCTGGGGGCACCTGGGGGCACCTGGGGACACACCTGGGGGGGTCAGGGACACCTGGGGATATTCAATGACACACCTGGGCACACCTGGGGACACCTGGGGACACACCTGGGGGCACCTGGGGACACTGGGGACACACCTGGGGGCACACCTGGGCACACCTGGGGGCACCTGGGGATATCCCCGGCCACACCTGGGCACACCTGGGCACATCTGGAACACCGGCCAGGTGAGCACACCTGCCCAGCTCCCCCCCACCGTGTGTTTCAGGTGAGGCCCCAGCGCCCCCAGGTGAGGCCCTGACACTCTCAGGTGTGACCACGGCACCCTCAGGTGAGGCCCTGACCCCCCCAGGTGAGCCCCTGGCACTTCAGGTGAGCTCTGGAGCTCCCAGGTGAGCTCACCTGCCCTTCCTTTGTGTTCCAGGTGCGTCCCTGCCTCACCCAGGTACGACCCCGGCACCCCCAGGTGAGCCCCAGGTGTCCCCAGGTGAGCTGGGGCTGCTGAGCCACGCCCACACCTGGCTGAGGTGGGCGTGGCCCTGCCCAGGTGAGCTCACCTGGCCGTGTTCCGTGTTCCAGGTGCAGCCCTGCCGCCCTCAGGTGCGACCCCGGAACCCTCAGGTGAGTCCTTAGCGCCCAGGTGAGCTCCTGAGTGCCCACGTGAGCCCAGGTGAGCACCTGGCACGCCCAGGTGAGCTCACCTGTCCCTGCCCCGTGTTCCAGGTGTGCCCCCAGGTGCGACCCCGGAACCCCCAGGTGAGCTCCTGACACCCCCAGGTGAGCCCTGGCACGCCCAGGTGAGCCCTGGTGCCCAGGTGAGCCCTGGTGCCCAGGTGAGCCCTGGAGTGCCAGGTGAGCCCTGGTGCCCAGGTGAGCCCTGGTGCCCAGGTGAGCCCT